TCTCCCACCTGCCTGCCTTTCCCCTCCCTCTACCTCAGGGCTCGCCTCTGGTTTCATTTCACAAATAAGCAGCAAATACTTTACAAGATACAACATGTGGATATGGAAGACTAAGAACCCTGTTCTCGTTTTACAAGTAAGTTTTGGACTTCCCTGCCTTATATAGTAAAGGAAGTTTTATGCTGCCCATATATTTTCTTAACATTTTTTAATACTGTTGGTTAATGTTTAGATGTTGAATCAACTTTGTACTCCTGGGAAAAATCTCATTTGATCATGCTAGTGATACAGGGAAGTAAAACTTCCTATCTGACCTGGATGAGTTCCTGTTCTCTAAAACCGAAGAATTTTAGGAACAAACGGAGATTGAGAGTAAAACATTTATTGGGAAAGAAAGCTTCTGTCTCAGAGAAGACAGAATGGGGGCCTGAGCAGGTTGCCCCGGAAGCTGTCTCTTTCAGGTTATTTTTATAGAGTAAAGCCATGCGGGGCTGAGATAGAGAAAAAGGGGTCTTGCTTAGGTGGATGTGAGGTGGAACAAAACTCTGGTCAACCAATGGGATTGCCAGCACCATTGCTCAGGTAAAGTTGATTACTCCCAGGACCAAATGGGGAAGTGAGTCACAGAGTAAGTGGGCATGAATATGGGATAGGATCTCTTCCTTATGGGGGTTGGGCTAGTGATTCACTTGGGTCTATCCAGGTGATCAGAATATCAATCCCAGGTGCTACTCTTTTAGCATTTGTTTGGCCTTTAGGTCTTTTAGGTCTGGTTCACTGCTGGAGCATCTGCCCCTCCCACAATTGTAAGGCATCTCTTCTACTGTGCTGTCTCCTTCAAGGTCCTGGCCCTGTCTGACTGCCTATATTTCTGTCTAATTTGGCTACCTGTAACAGTTATGACCATTTTATTTATGTACCTAGATTCTGGTTGGTACCGTTTTGTTGAGGATTTTGATATTAATATTCTTAAGACATACTGGCTTATGATTACTAACATTTTTTTGAAGATAGATTTCTGTGTCTGTGATTTGTTAAAAACATCTGTTTACCTTTAGGTAGTACCTTCCGCCCCCCCCCCCCGCCCCCACCAGGGATTGAACTTGGGCCCTTGCGCTTGCTAGGGAAGCGTTTATTCCACTGAGCCATCTCCCCGGCCCAAGGCAGTACCTTTCAAATAACAGCAAAATATTAAAAACTGTTAAGAGGGAATTAAGATGATGCCATTGACTTTTTTTTTTTTTTTTTTTTTTTCGAGACAGAGTCTCTGTAGAAATTTAGGGCTGGCATTGAACTCACCATGTTGCATAAATTGGCCTTGAACTTATAGTTATCCTGCTCACTCAACCTCCCCAGCACTGGGATTATAGACATACAGCACTATTTTTGGATTCATTAAAATATTTTTAAATGATAAAATGTCATGCCTTTGCTTGAAAGCACTATGTCCTTTCTTTTTCAGGTATACTATGAAAATTCTTCCTTCTGTTTCCAAATCTTACCAAGTTGATATTCATCATTTGTAAAATATGATTAACATACCCTGCTCCTACCTGTAAGATACTAAACAGAAGTAAATGAATTGGTTGACTATTCGTTAAGTTGTGTTTCTCTCTAATAAAAGCTTTACTAACTTTGCCTTGTTTTTTATCTTAGTGTAAAAGTGTCCATTCCTGGAGTATCTGTTAGAATATTAGGGATCTGCAAAGTCATAAAATAAATTTCTTTCAAAGGACCAGATTCTAAACAATTTAAAGAGGTGAGGGCCAGAAACTTTTTGTATTAAAACAGTCAAGACTTTTATGGAGAAAAGTATAAAATGTGCAGGAATTTTTAAGTGAAATATAACACTTAAAAGAAATTTATTACTTTTGTTACAGTTTTCAGTCCCAATACCCTTCAAAGAGGATGGCTGCTTTTTTTGTTGTTAGATAAGAATAGATTTTAAGACCCAGTCCTAGCCCAGGTCCGGTGAGTGTATGGAGAGCTTCCTGCTAACCAGCACCGGCGGGACCAGTCCCAGCCCAGGTGCAGCGTGGGCTGGACTCTCTCCCACCCTCTCGGGCCGCCCCCCACTACGCCGTACCTCCCCCACCCCTCCCGCCCAGTAGGAATTTCTGCCGACTTCCAGGAACCCCCAGACCCAGTCCTAGCCCAGGTCCGCAGCGGGAAGGAGCTGACCACAGCAGCCAGACCTAAGCCAGACACAGCTGGATAACTCCAAGCTCTGTAGAGCTCCAACTTCAGTACGTGTGAAGGTTATAACTACAGCAAAGATCTACAACAAAGGGTAGAAGACAGTGCTACGTAAAATGACAAGAAGGAACAAAATGCAACCTCAGAACCCAAGCCCACCCGTAACAAGTGCAGAGGACACTAA